TTCACGTTTGTCTTCTGTCTATCGTCCAGAGGCGTTAACACGATTCAATTCTTGAACACACTTGAATTTAGCTCGGCCAAAATCACACCGTCATTATCATGGGAAAATATAGGCCACGAATATTTCTATGAATATTCCGTTGTTCGTACTTTTCAAGCAAAAGAAGGTCATCTCGCAGGTGTCGGGGATTATGGCTGTTGCCTTACCTGGCAAAGTTCAAGGAACTTGGACGAAATATTAAAAATTAACGGTGGGGTAGCCATGTGTCCATATCTCTTTAAATTTTAATTGCTTCGCTTTCCGTGTTTCGCAACGCAGACAGACAGACCGATATTAAATATTTGAAACGATTCCTGTTTCACGTTAACAATCCGGCACGAATCCTCGTCTCTCGAAACGAGCCTCCACTCGCTCATTGTGCATAAGAATTTAATGGCATCTCTCTGCCGGTCATTGTCCAGCATGCACGGATCGATTTGATTTTCTTTTTCCCACCGTCACACACGTCGCGTGGAATGTGTCACGTGGAGGACGTGACGTACCTCGGAGTTTAGAAGTTACGTCTTATTACGCAAGATAGATTGTGTCGAACGTTGAGACGAGTAACGAACGAGCATGATCGTTGTGTAAGTGATCGCTCACCTGATCGCAGAGTCATTCAGTATCGCAGGATCGTGAAGCAATGCATGTTTCCGCGCGGATGTCCATCGATCGTTCGTTCAACGGGTCTCTTCCCGCGTAAAGTGAGACTCAGGATCAAAGTCGAGAAACTTTCATTTTATAATACCGGAACTGATTCCGAAAATCGTCGCGTCGAGGCTGTTAAAAATAAATAAACAGAAACATATGCAATCTGTTGCAATCGCGGCAACAACAACCGTATGGTTGTTACTGAACCGCGTGTGTGTTTCGCGAACGACAACAACTGTGCGAGAAGACGTCTGAACGAAGCAACACTGGTGAACAAAGTAGCACTCTAACGACACTCGTCACGTAAAACTGTTGACAGCAGTCGTCCCTCTTGTCGCCTTTGATACCCTCTTGCCTTCGACTCTCGTCCCGCGGCGAAAAAAGTCGTTGCGGCCTCGACGAAAGGGCAGACACTACACGTGGAATTAACCGTGCCGTCGAGGGTCGACATTTTCGAGAGTTGTGGAAGAACGCACCACTTCACGTGGCCGCGAACGCCGCGCATGTGAAGGGGTTGTCTCGTTCAATTCCACCCCCTCCCCCCTCCCCCGCCCCCTCGACGCGAACCTCGTACATCCATGTCACGTGTACGTCGCGGAACACCGGTCATCCCCTCCCCAACTGGTTAGCAAAGGTACGTCCACCTTTTCATCGGTTTACTTCGACAACTTTTCTCCGAAAGAAATTCAGAAAATGGAGATGCCGAGTTGCGTGGAAAAATTGGAAAACGTTTTGAAAAGCACACACAGGTATTATAGGAAAACTTGAGTTGAGTTTCAGATCATAATCTCGGCTGGTGGAGAGAAAGAAATTTATCAGTTTCGATTGTAGCTTCCTAAACCACGTGCGCAAATAGGCAGCTTTTATTTTGCAAAAAATAAATAGGCACTTCTACAAAATTTGCTTGA